TAGATAAACTCTTAAAAAAATTCCACATCTAGAAACCCTGGTATGGAGCACTGGTTTTTCTCTATTTGCAAATTGGCTCTTTTTCCATTTTTTTATGAGATTTATTTAATTTAAAAGTAAAATAAACAATAATGCAATACATATATTTTCTGAAAAAAACAAGACATACTAAAATTCTAAAATCAATCAATTTGAAATCACATGAATAATTGTTTATAGATTGTGATCTGAATTTAAATAAGTGAATGAATATATATATGTAGTCTTAAAATAAAAAAATTAATTATAATGTGAAAACTTATTTTGTATTTTAAAAATTAATAATAATACACTTAAAATACTAGTTATGTTCAAATAGAATATGTCTAAATTGACTTTTACTTATTGATTGGACTTAAAGCTCCATGTCGTAGTCAGAAGATACTTCTGTAAAGTCTAAGGATGGGTTTTTTTGGAGACGCACTCGAACACTGAAATCAATAATAATTTATGAATTTTGGGAAAAAGAGACCCTTAACTAAAGAGAATGAGAGAGAAAATGACTGATAGTGTAAAATTAATAATGATAAATTGTAGGTATTTGTCATTTCATTAGTCCATTTGTCTTAAAATAAATTGCCCTCTTTCTAAATGACCAATTCTTATACTCAGCTTGCCCTTGGGTTCAAAGCCCATCATTTAGTTTTGGGCTACTATGTTAATAGTATATATACGTAATTTTATAAGAGAAGAAATATCATAATAAATTTTAATTATTAAAATAAAAAAATAATTAATTAAAATTTTATATAAATATGATATATTAAATTTATATATGAATAATTTTTTACACATTTTATAATCATAATATAAATGAGCACACACAAACACTAGAAAAGCGTTGTTGGTGGGTGGATAGGGCATCAAAGGCATGTGCGCATTTTTGTTTCCTTCGATTGGAGAAAGGAATCTATCGCCTTTTTTTTTTTTTTTTTTTTTTTTTTTAAAAATTTCGGTGGACTGGATTTGTGGTAAACCGAAAACCGGCCGCTGTTTCCTTGAAAGGGCTGTCGTGATACGTCGTTTTCATGAGAACAGGTTCTGTCGTGGGGTTCCATAAATGGTGGGCCACTGGCATATCTGTTTTGTTGGGACTTTTGGGACCACTTAATGCTGATGGCTCGGCCTAACTGTAAAAATTGATTGATTATGGTTTATGCTGCCGAGCCCATACCTCACACCTGGGTTTGTAGTTCATATGTAGTTTACGAAGCCCAGACCCATATTAGGTCCATGGGAAAATCATACCAAAGCCTTGTGCTCCCTCTCCTCTTATTCCTTTAGTTCTTGGCTTGGAAATGCTCTTAGTTTAAGTTGAAATTTGCCACAGGTGATGGACTGAGGAAGATCCCATGATAGTAGAGAGTAGCTGTAGTTTATAAGTTGAACCTAACCCTTTCTTATCAAAGTATTTTTTCAAAAACAATTCATGAAATTTATAAGTTAAAATAGATAATATCTCGTGACAGAATGCAACGTAAATCCTGACATCAACTATTTTCAACAACAAGATAACTATACTGTTATAATACTCATAGTTGTCACAATTAAGCCAAGATGATATAATTTCAAACTCGAGTTTAAACTTTAAATTTTCGAGTTTTCATGTTTAATTTTAAACTCAATTTAATTAACTTGGATGAATTATTCTTTTAAAATGATGTCTTAAATGGTTAAACCCAAAATACTCTGAACACTAACATGTAAGTCAATTTCAAATCCAACGCTGTAAGTAATGATCTAATGCTAAATTTAAGTCGTCTCAAGCTTAATATTTAACTTAAAAATAGCTCAATTAGAACTAGATTAATCAAAATTTTACCACTTCCACTGCTGCCATTTTCACACACTGCCCCAGTAGCAATGGAAGAGAAATAGTATTTCTGCTTCATTATTTTATCTTCACTCATGAGAATTGACAAAGCATGATTCTCCACAGTCTAAACCATCTCTATGTGTCCTCCTCTTTGGCGCACGAATATCATTACTCTCAAAAATCCCTCCTCCCTTCACTACCAAGCAAAGGAAATACAATAAAAAAAAAGGGTAATTAAACAATGTTTAACTCTCACTAATTTTCTTCAAACACAGTAAATAAATGTGAACAATGGCATGTTAAACCACGCCTAAGACATTAAGATTAGTTTAATTAATACCCTGAAAGAAATAATCAATACGACCCTACAGAAATAATGATCTGATACAGAATTCCTTGAAATGTGCCTGAAATCCTGCTACATGATTGTACGGAGAGCGTATTTGGCTTTAATCTGCTTCTATATAAGCCCTTTTGAGACTTGAGAGGAATATGGTATAGAGGTAAATTGCTAAGAACAGAGCAAAAATGTCCACAATGCTTTTAGTTTTGCTGCTGATTTCCACCCTCCATCTCCATGCCAATCTTATCTTGGCATCAGATCCTGACCCTGTTCAAGATTTCTGCATTCCAAACCCTGAGTTTGGTTCTGTGAAGACTGCTCGTCTCAGCATCCTCCCATGCAAGAATTCCTCCACCGCAACCACAGATGATTTCGTCTTCTCTGGCTTGAAATCTGCCGGAAACTTCAGTGATATAGGCCTTGCCACCATCCCCGTGAATCCAACAGTTTTTCCAGGGCTTAACACATTAGGCATGTCATTTGTACGTGCTGACCTTAAGGTTGGTGGGATTAATCCACCTCATTTTCATCCTAGAGCAACAGAGATTGCATATGTAGTGCAAGGACGGGTTTATGCAGGCTTTGTTGATTCCAGTAATCGGGTTTTTGCTAGGGTGATCGAGCAAGGTGAGGTCATGGTATTCCCCCGGGGGCTGGTGCATTTCCAAATGAATGTTGGAAGAGAACCTGCTACAATTTTTGGAAGTCTGAACAGCCAGAATCCAGGAAATCAGAAGATCCCCTCTGCTGTTTTCGGGTCTGGCATCAAAGAAGAGCTTTTACAGAAGGCTTTTGGCCTCAGTCCGAAGCAGATTGGGACAATGAGGAGAAGATTCGATCCCAAAATATGATGGATTCTGAGTTGTTAAATCCTCTGACTATCATCCCAAAAATGTTTTATGGGGTTCTGGCTACTGGCTTTCTGTAGTAAAATGAAGTCAAATCTGTATGCTGCTTGCTCTAAATTGTCTGCATTTCTATGTCCCCTATTGTTCCACTTAAAATTCCAGTCTCTATTTATCTACAGAGGATGAATTCTAAACTAATTACATTGCCTGGTTGATGAGAAAACAAAAGAATGGAACAACAGTTCACAATCACAAGGGTTGGCTCAACTAGTAATAAGATTGGACACCTCACCTGCTTGGGCTTACATTCGACTTTGCTGCCAGTAGGCCTTCATGGAAAGGTTATTTAAACACACTGTAACTCCACACTGTAACTCCCCACTGAAGTTGGTGGCATATCATGGCCTTCGACTGGGGTAACCTCCCTTGCCCTAATTTTTATAGGAAAAAAATATATATAAAAAGAATGAGAAAATGAATGTGCAGTTATTATGGCAAAGGGCCAAAGACATTAAGGATCAATAGTGGCATCAGGTGTGCCATCATCATACCAAGAAGACTGGCCTACTAAGTCGTAAATGCAAAACCAAACCACATGCTAATGTATCATCAATTGATATTGTTCCGAACAGCCTCAAGCAGCCTTAAATATTACCTTTCATGGGGGCAATGGTACCCAGCAATAGAAACCGATTGCATCTAGATAAGCATATAACACATTATGGGGGTGAAGGTAGGCAAGGAAAAGAGCAACCAAGGCTGTCTTGTTCAAATTTCCAGATGTCAACTGAAAAAAAAGAGAAAAAGAGAGTTACAAAATACTTTCAAATAAGGATCAAAGTTACCAGTAACAAAATCAAACCCTCCTTCCTGCTTCATTTTGTCTTTTCACTCTCACAAGCTTCATTTCTCCTTTCCATTGTGACAAATAATATTCATTTCACTGTTGGAAGTTGCAGCCCTAGAATCCATCTGGAATCAGTCTAATTGCAGTAATCAAGGGGATAACTGGGAAAGAAGACTCCAAGGATGAAGAGAGGCTACTTTTCTCTAATTAGAAGTGTTTTTATGATATTGTTGGACATCCCATCAGCATGTTGAAACAGATGCACAGCACCTGCTAGCTCATGGTAATGAACCCATGGGAGTTGTTGAGCAATATAACGTTGAAGCATCACAGGCACCGTCGCATCTTCATCCCCATGCCAAATGTGGACAGAACCCTCATTGTTGGGAAAGGATTTTCAAGACTCATAGGATCAAACTCCCAGTTTCCAAACCCAACTATAATGTCACAGTGCAGGGACTCGTATTCTCCTTGCTGTCTGACTTGTACCTGAGGATAAACAATAGACAAGGTCAAGAAGCCAGTGACAACTTATTGTTTTAACTAAATTCAATATTGCTAAATCATTAAAGATGGAAAGTGAAAATGTGACAAAATATTGACTATACTCCAAGACTTTTACAAGAAAATAAGGTGATAAAAACATGGCAAGCTCTTATTGTTTTAACAACAATCTGATCATGTAGTTTAATTGAGCATTGACAACTTAAATCTGGCGCAGAAAGAATCTACAAATGTAATCTGGCTATCTGTCAAAAGAGGTTACGAAGAATGTCACTGACTCACTGCAATGCGGAAATTTGGGTACCATAAGTAACTCTGAAAAAAAAAAGAAAAAAAGAAAAACAAAATGAAAAAGAAAAAGCAAGAACTGAAGAATGCATGTATCTTAATTTTCAAGTGTTTACCTTGAAAGGTAAACAATTGAATGTGATTGGAAAGGGGCACTGAGGTACTTAAGGTTAATGAAACTTGGTATTCAGAAGTTCCCATTTAATGCAAAGTAAAAGGGACAAGAAAACATTTTTGGTAATAGACAAGAGAAAATACTTAAATTAAGGAGACTAACTAAAACTATGAGAATTATACTTCTCAAGAGCCATGAATGCCAATAAGAAGTACATTTCTCTTAAAACAATCCCCAAATTAGGGGAGTTCTTTATGCCAACGGCAAATTTAAAGAAATATTGTGATTATAATCACAAGCAATGCTCTCCACAATGTGTGATGTTTTACATCTTCTACTTGGGAATTCTTCAGCATGATTCTCTACAATTATATGTACCAAACATTTCCATGAAGTAATAAAAAAGCTGATTCACAAAATAGAAAGCACACATTAGATTTATGATGAAAATGACTGAAATTCTTGTTCTAGGGGACTTTAAACACAGTCTGAATTTGAGAAAAAAGAAAAAGAGGGCAAAAGCAACGGAAAATAATTATAAGATACTATCATTCATTTAGCAAATAAATTTCTGTGCACCCACAGCACAACACAGAGAGGGACGTAACTTGCTTATTGTTAACATAAATGGTAAAATGATTTTCTAATCAACGTTAAGATCAAGTTGTCATTCAAGCTGAGTACAACCAGCGCATCCCTCAACAAAGGAGAATGATCAAAATATGAATAGATATAGTGCAAACTGAAAATATCCAGTGAAGCAAGTGGCTAGCTTTTCTTTCTTT